TGCTGTAGCAGGCCTGAAAGGCCCACTGTTCCCAGGGTCAGCTGGAAGGGCGTTAATGGAGGCCCAGGGTGTTTATTTGAGTTTATTTGCAGAGAGGTCTTTAAAGGGGCCTGGCATTGGGCATTGGTGTTTCCAGTCCAGGTCCTGGGCCCCCACTAAGACCAATGGCTATTGCTGCCAAGAAAACATCTGCCACCAAATTGCTGCCCTATTACTGAGTTGACATTGATCATTAGCCAGGAGCCCAACCAAATAAAGCCTCCTGGAAAATGTGTGAGGTTAAGATGGGGAAGGCGGGCTGTGAAAACAGCACAAAATCTAGGACTGGGGTATTTGGTCCTACAACCCCACAGGTGGCCAGCTGGGCTGTGTGGTCCTCACACTTCTGGAAGGAGGGAAATGAGAACACACTCAATACTCAAGTCCCTATTATGTGCCCAGTTCAAGGCTCTGGACTCCCAACAGGGATACAGACAGAATGCTCCTTACATGCATTCCCAAACAGAAGTACATTAAGCAAGCAACTAAATCAACACAGATTGTGATCAGCACTCTGGAGAAATTGAAGGACAGGATAGAGAACTTTCTTTCACTCTGGTAATAGATCTGGTAATAGATAGATCTTTGGTGACATTTAAGGCCAAACCTCAAGAAGGAAAAGTCATGCAGAACTTTGTAGACAGAGGGAACAAGTTTTGAAACATAGAATAATGGGCTTGTTTGAGGAAATGAAAGGAGGCCAATGTGACTGGAAAGTGGTGAGGAAGGGGGATGGTGGTTGCTCTGAACTTGTCTAGGCAGGAGGTAGACAGGGGCTAGATCATATACCGTCTTTTGGTAAGGAGTTTGGATTTGGTCTTTTGAGCACAGGGAATCTTTGTAGGATTTTAAATAGAGTAAGGATATGATTTTTTAGAGAGCATTCTGCCTTTTAGTTATCTAGTGCATCTCTGATAGCGTAGTGGTTACAAGTCGGGCTGCCAACCTCAAGGTCAGCAGTTTGAAACTACCAGCAGTTCCGCGGGAGAAAGATGAGGCATTTTGCTCCCGTAAAGATTTACAGCCTCGGAAACCCTGTGCATGGTCACTATGAGTTGGAACCGACTCCATGGTACTTAACAACAACAACAACAACAACAGTGCATCTATAATAGAAATACCACAAGTGGGTAGCTTTAACCAACAGAACTTTATTTTCTCACCATTTGGGAGGCTGTAAGTTTGAATTTCTTGTGCTAGTTCCAGGGAAAGTCTTCTCCTTTGGTTCTGGAGGAAGTCCTTGTCTCTGAGCTTTTGTTCCTGGACAGTCTTCACATGACTTGACATCTCTCTTCCCCCATCCCTGCTTGCTTGTTGTTGTTAAAAGTGCCGCAGAGTCAGTTCTGATGTATAGCTACCCTGTATAGGGTTTCCAAGGAGCAGCTGGTGGGTTTGAACTACTGATCTTGTGGTTCATAGTCCAGTGCTGATCCTATAGCACCAAGCTTGTGTTTCATCTCTTTTATAACTCCAAAGAGAATTGCTCCATACTCATGCTCATTTACATATCAAAGACAACCATTATAACCACTGGCATAGAGATAAGGATTTATAACCCGTTTTTGGAGGAAACATAACTCAGTCCATAACATTCTGGCAGCTGCTGTGTGGAGCCCGGATTATGGGGGAGCAATAGTAGAAATGGAAGATGAAAGAGGAATCCCAGTGAGAGACTGGCTTGTGCCAGTGTAGCAGTGCTGTTGAGTCATTTCCAACTCATTGCAACCCCAGTGTAGGGTTTACAAGGAGCGGCTGGTGAGTTTGAACCACCAACCTTGTGGTTTAAACCAACCTTGCGGTCCAGTGTTTATCCTGCAGCACCACACTTAACCTTTGGTAGTGTGCTAAAGGGAGAGCCTACTAGGTTTGCCGATCTGTGGCTATACGGGTGGAAGACACACCGAGGCTGTGGTGTGGCAGTTGCTCCTTTGAGGGGACTCTGGGACACCCACCCTCTGCTAAAGACAGCAGCTTACCTGTGTCTCCATGCCTGGAGTGTTTAATGATGAAATTGTTGCAAGTGGAAGGAAATGAGACTCTTTCACAGAGACTTCTTTGTAGGTAGAACTTAGGAAACACTTTTCATCCCCGAAAGCAAAGGTCTTGCTCTGGGCAAGATTGATTGAAAGGTTCTGAGCTGGCTTGAAAAGTGGAGAAGGAAAACCAGAGGCCAAGCTCAAATCTCAGGGTCCCTAACCCCATGTGTATTTGTGGCCCCAGTGTTCCTACTCTGTCTTCCTAGGTTGGAAGGGGGTGGATATGTGGGGCAAAGGGCCCGGGCCTCATTAGGTCATTTACTGCTATGACAGTGGGGATTTACCTGAAGCAAGGAGACCTTTGGAATAGATTTGGCTCAGAGGAAAAAAGCACAGTGGCTTCCCTGGGAAGCCTACTGATGATTTTAATTAAACCACCACAAAATCTTTTCCCCTCATAATAGCTACCAATGGGGTGGCTCTGGCCTAGGAGAGTGATCCCTGTGCACTAACTCAGGGTGTTTCAGGAAAGGTGAACTGGCTGGGATGGAGTGCAGATCTGCATGCTGTCAGGTTACCTGCTGGTCTTGGTCCTTCGAGAGAGCAGGAGACAGCATTGTGAGAAATAAGGGCATGGACAGTGAAGGACAAAGTTTTAGGGGCCTTCCTTCCTGCAGAGGGTGCTGCCCGCTCTGTGGGAGGCATTGAAGAGCTCTCCAGGTGGGCTCTGGTCAGAGGACTCACTGTCTGGCAGGAAGCTGCCATGTATTCATAGCTGGCATATAAATGGCCTTCCCACCGATGTGCTAAGGGCTTTGCACTCTTGCGCTCTCTGGTTTATTCTCACCAGCAGGTTCTGGCCCACAGATGTGTTTCGTTTGGCCCTCTCAATGTGTTTTAAAAATTCTGAAATCAGTTGCCAATATTTTAAATGCAGGAGATTTTGTGTGAAAATCCAGATCCAATCTGCGTCCTCTAGAAAGATAAGTGTCTTCTAAGGTACCTGGGTTAGTGAGGGATGGAGCTGAGATATGAACCTAGCACCTCCTGAATTCAGAGTTCCTACTTTTAATGCTTTGAAAGACCCTGACTTGGAAGTCAGAGAGGTTCAAGTGCCCACTTTGCTGAATGTAGAGAAATTAAATTCATGTACACTTTGCAGGAGAATCTGGGTGCATTTATATGGTTCCTCTCTCTGCTTTCACCTAGCCTAAGGCTAGGCTGGAAAAGATACGGGATTGAGGGAAAGTTCTGTTAAAATCTGCACTGGATACTCATATCCTGATAGACAGTAAGGGTGGCAGCTATGGGTGAGAGGGCATGATTGTCCCATTCAGTCCAGGACCTCATGCAGAGAGGCAGGGAACTCTGAAGGTCAAAAGCATGGTCTCTTGAGTATGATGGACCTATTACAAGCACCATGATCTTGGGCAAGCCACTTAACTCCTGAACTTCGGTTTCTTCATTTGAAAGAAGAAGGCACCCGTTTTACCCATCCACAACGGAGGGCTGTTCTGAGGGCTTAGTGAGGTCTCCGGGTACATGGGTGGCCTCCATGAGTATTTAGAAATTAGCCATCACGGTTCCAGGCATAGGCATCCATGCTTTTCGTTTGCATTACCTTGTATCCAATGGAATCTCAGCCTCCTGCAGCAATCAGCCCCGTGGGCCTGTCTGTTGTCCTGATTCTGCCCTTAAAGGGCACTGGGGTGGAGATAGAGAGATGCTCTTTACTGAGGTCAGATAGGAGAGTCCTCCTGCGCAGCTAGGTCTGGGTGGTCACAATAAGTGAAGGAACAGCCCAGGGCTTGGTGTGACTAAACACAAAACCAGGGGCAGCAAGCAGATGGAACCCAGTGCAGGACTAGGGGACCCAGTTGGCCTACAGATGGCTCAGTCAGAGGCGCTTTCCCCATGGCCCTGGCTGCCCATCCTTTGTTGTGACTTGTGAGACAGTCTCAATCCCAGCAACATGGTAGTGAACACTCAGCACTCTGTGACTCAAGATCTCTTCTCACTGAAGGACTCAGCCATGGGCAGGTTAACATACCACTGGGTGTGTTCCCCTCAAAGAGGAGACAGGAGCAGCTCTGTTGCCCAGGACTGTAGGATTAGTGAGAGTAGACAGGAAAGCACTTCCAACAGGTTGAGCCAGCTAAGGATTCAAAGGCAGCTCAGCATGGGCTCAGGGATCAGACTAGTGAATGAATTCAAATCCTGGTCCAGCCAGTGACTAGCAAGAGCAAGGCACTGAGCCTCACCTGCCAATGGAGCTAATAGCCCACAACTCACAAGGCTGTTGGAAACAAGAAATAGTGTGGGTGGAGAAACACTGAGTGAGAGCGGCCCACCCTTATTACCCTGAAGCTAGGTACTGGAGTTGAGCTAAAGATGCTCTGTACTTTTCTCTGGGAAAAGGGGTGTGTCCATGGGAAGGACAGGGATAGCCTAAACCCAATACCTTGCTCACTGGTGAAGCTGAGGTTTGGCTTCAGCACCCTGAGCCTGGTGTGTTCCAGGGTCTCAGCCTGGAGAATACTCCACCCCAGTTTATCCCCTGCTAGCTGCCACTCTCAGGATGTGCTGTCCAGACTGGCTTGAGTTTAGATTCAGCTAGCACAGTACTGCAAGAACCCGTCTTGTTTCCTTTCCCTTCCCAGACATCCATGAGGACACAAGTTTTGAACTCTCATTGTCCTGAGTAGAAGCTGAGGCCTGGCAGGTTATAGTCACTGTTCCTTGCCCTCTCTCTAAGGTTATCTTTGGCCAAACCTGTGCTCCTCTGAGGGCTCTGAGATCAGGAGGTAGGAGAAACTCCTTGGTGGCGTAGGGGGTGGGATGAGGTTGTCAGAGGTTAGGGGCAGAGCCTTGTTCTCATTCTTTTGCTGCAGCAGAGTGAGTGTGGGGAGGTAGTTTATGGATCACTTTTCTGGGAGACTGAGAATTTCTTAAGTCTGAATATGTTGGGCTTGTCTTTCGTTGCAGATGGAAGAAAAGAGACGAAAATACTCCATCAGCAGCGACAACTCTGACACCACTGACAGTAAGGCCTTACTTCCATTTGGGGCTCCTGCAGGGAAAGCAGTCGAATACTTATCTGGTCAAAGTTGGGGAAGGCTGCTGCTCTTAGGTCTACCAAGCAGCCAGGGGCATGCAGCTGATAGCACAAGTCCAGTCAGGGCCCTCTGCTCCCAAGAGCATGGGCCTCTTCACTCTTATCCCTTGCTTTCTGGGTCTCAGCAATAGTTTGAACAGATCAGCTCCCCTCAGTGCATTTGCATATGCTACTCCCCCCTACTGTGAGCACTTTCCTCTCCCTCTGACTCTCCATCTCCGGTTGGACTCAGGACCTGTCACTCTATTATAATGACCTGATTAGTGTCCATCTTCTAATCTGACAGTGGTAAGGTCCTCAGGGGTCATGTCTGACTGTTGTTTCCTCAGCCCACAGCTAAGGTCTGGCACATAGTAGATGCTCAGTAAATGTTTGCTCTCATTGTCCTTATTAATGAAGAAACCTGACCTTAATGGCATCTTCAGATAGAATGTCAGCGCTAGACTGGTGTATGATTAGGTATGTGCATAGGAGTTCTGGTGGGGAGGGTTGTTAAGGAACGAATGGGGCTTACGGAGCCAATTCTGGAGTTTGGGAGAGAGAAGGAGGTTTGTGTACCCAAGGTAAGGCTCTTCTTCTCTTATACTAGATGACAAGGCAGCTAGCTCTTCTCAGATGCCCCAGGAAGCTGGCCCTACCTGTGCTGGTAGGAGTAAGGAGTAGGAGAGCATCCCTGCCTGGGCCATTTCACCTAGTTGTGCTGGTCTTTGAAGGCTGTACTAAGGAATCCCACACTACTAAACTTCAGTCTATAAACATAATCAGTGAGCAAGTAGGATTAGGAATACCTCTTAGGTCCTTGTATCTTCCAAAGCCCCACAACTCCTCCTGAGAGCCTGAGGATAGATTACCTAGAATAGCTGGTCAGATTCCAGTCCCTTAGCTATCACCACATCTCTTTGGCTGCCCTTTGAGGTCTATTTGCCCCTGCTTGGCTCCCGCATCTAACCTGGCCAGCCCTTCATCCCTGTGGCCTTCTGTGGTGGCAGCACACCGCCTGTGGCCTGGCTCAGTAGAGCCAAAAAGAACCACATCATCCGCTTCTAACTGGATTGCAGGCAAAGGAAACCCTTTGAGGGCCAGGCACTGCAAAGCAGCTGAGCCTTGTAGCTTCATCAAAGTAAGGCCAGGCTTGGGTGCACTCTCTCTCCCACCAGCTCTCACCACCATACCCACCCTCAGCTGCTGCTCTTGTTCATCTAAAGCCTTGAGTTATCTATGGCCCTTCTTGCTGCTCCTTTGACTAGTAGGGATAAGCCACAGACTTGGGGCCTAACAAGGACCTTACTTATTCTGTTGTGATGGGGTTACTATGAGTTAGAATGGACTAAGCAGCACCTAACAACAGCACAGCACTGTTTATTGAGGAATCACAGTGTACGAGGAATTGTACTAAGACTTACAGGCATGTTCATTAGTTCCTTTCAACCACCTATGAAGATAGTTGGAGTTCTGGTGTGGTGCTGTGTGGGCTAAAGCACTGGACCACAAGGTCGGCAGTTCAAATTCATCAGAACCAACTAGACAGATAGTTATTCTCTTGTCACATTTTATAAATGAGGAAATATACTCCGAGAGATTAAGCCACTAAGGGGTAAAACAGGGTTCTAGCCTGGTCTTTTAGGTCTTCTTCAAAGCAGCACTTTTACCACTATCCTGCTCTGCTCTGTGTCCCCACTGGGTATCATCCTAGAGGATTGGAAAAGTACTCATTCTGGGCAGGAAGGTGAAGAAAGGTATGAAACGAACAAGCAGGTCTTTGAGTTCTCAAACCCCTTCTGGTTGGTGGGGAGCAGTCTTTTGGTCCCCAGATCATGGATAGTTCACAAGGTGTTCTCAGAGGACCCCACCTCATGAACATTCAAGCCAGAGCTTTCTTTTCAGGCTTCCTCTCCTTGGACCTGGGTGGGTGGTGTTCTTGGCCTTCAGGGGCCCTTAATAGACTGTTTTTTCTCTGCAGGCCACACTACATCTACATCAAGATGCTCCAAACTGCCCAGCAGCACCAAGTCGGGCTGGCCCCGGCAGAACGAAAAGAAGCCCTCAGAGGTGGGTAGTGACCAATGTCCTGCGGGCGATAGACAGGAGCAGAGCCCTGTGGGAGTGAGGGGCAGAGCATTCCTGCAGAAGTCACAGTCAGTGCAAAGGGAAGTCAGTATGTCACAGATGGGCGAAGTGATGATGGGGGTACCAGTGCATGTAATCCTGATAGGTTGTTGTCACGTTTCTTTTATTGATCTGAGCAGGAGGGGAAGCCACTGAAGGACCTTGAGCAGGATAATTGAAGTAGGCTGGTGTTTAATAAAAGGTCCCTTGGCTGCTATGAGAAGGGAGGAAGGGGAGGGAGGTCAGTGAAGAAGCTGTTGCATTCCTCCAGATGAGAAACTACAGTGCGGAGTTTAGAGTTCGGTACATTTGGGGCTTGAGCACAAAATGATGGATTTGCTGACATGGATGTGAAGGCTGGAGTATTCAGTCATTCATCCAGATAGTCTTCTATTCATTATGCTCACTTTATCCACTGTCATCCCATGTAACCCCATGTAGGGTTTCTGAGACGATAAACCTTTGTGGGAAAAAGTTTTATGTTTCTCCTGCGGAGGGTTGAGTGGGTTTGAACCTCCGACATTGCAGTTAGCCCACCACCTAGTTCACAGTGCCACCAGGCCTCTGAGCCTTGTTACTTTGATCCAGGATAGAACTATTTCTGGCCTTTGAAACTGTGGAGAAGAGAACTTTGGGAGTAGGTAGAGAGGAAAGGTCAGAAGGACATCCCATGGTTCCAGCGAGTTGGCACTCATTACCTCCCAGTCTGCAGTACTAATGACACTCACTCTTCCCCTTCTGGTCTTGGACCAGTCTCTCTTGACCACACCCAGCTTCACACCCGCTCCCCTGAGGGCCTTCCCAACCCTGCTGAGGGGTGAGTTCCATTAGACCAGGCATATGCTCCAGTCAGGACCCAACTTCAAAGGTCCTGGGGAAGGCCCTCACTCATCCCCCTGTCTCATACTCCAGCAGCATAGAATCCTTCTCTGAGCTTAGAATGGTAGCCGTCCTCAGCACCAGTGGAGCTGCAAGACCATTGATTGCCTGAGATCGACATGAGGGTTTAGGAAACTGGCTCCTAACTTGGACATTGTTTGGTAGTTTTCAGGGAAGCCAGGTGTTGGGTTGGACACTTTACATGTATTGCTCCTTTTTATTCTTAAAACTAGCTCAGGGTTCTCAGTCCTTATGTTACTAAAGATTCCCAAAGTCATAGAAGCAGCACCTGAAGTCCTGAGGGTCAGCAATGCCTAGGACTGGGAGCCCAGACACTCCCTGGGACAAAACTTGTTGAAGTGGGGGAAGTTGCCTTTGTTCCAAGCCAGGCTCTTCCACTCCACTCTCTGGGGCAGTCCTAACCCTACTCTTTGAGCCAGTCCCTGTGGGGGTCTTCCTTTGAGCCTTGCATAAGAAAAAGGACTGCGCCTTCTACGGAAGTTGCCCTGCCTTGGGACTTAACCCTCAGGGTGGGGCCAGGAACCTTTGTGATCTGTGGCCTCTTTTCTCCCTCCTCCTCCCATTCTTCCCCTCTCCCCCACACCCTTGAGCTCAATTACCTTGGGATCCCTACCTGAGGCCTTCCCCAAGGGTCCTTGGGAGGGGTGGGAGGAGATGGATGGAGCTGTCTCCTGGAATGCCGTCGGGGCGGGATTGCAGTGCTGGGGTGGGGGATGGGAAGTCGCTCTTGAGGCTATATGCACTCCCAGCTTAGACTTGCTGGGGGGGAGGGGAGCTGTTGTGAATCCAGGAAGCTGGAGGATGGGTGTGCTTAGGTCTGGGAGGCCCTGTCTTCTGGTGTTTGTTTGCACACTTTCCCCACACCCCCACCCTTGAGATCTTTGTGGCTCCCCAATTGCTAATAATGAATTAGCAAAACAATAGTACCCTGTAAGTGCCTTCCTGGCCCTGGCTAGCAGAAATTGTTGCCCTGTTGGAAGATGAGGATCCAGCTTCTCAGAGAATCCTGCCTGTCTTCTGCTTCCCTTGGCGGCTCCAGTTGGGGAGCGGTGGGGAAGTTCTGGGGAGCTCCCGGGGCTGCCTCCTTCGTCTGACTCGCTCAAGCTCAGCCAGCTCCTCCCCCGCTGCTCGACTCCTTCTTTGCACCAGTGGGAGGAGGGGCCACCTCTTGGGGCTGGAAGATCCCAGGGGCTAGGCTGCCATTGCCACCCTGGGGCCAGGGTGGGAGGAAACAGGTGTCTGATGAGGCTGAGGGGAAAGTGATTTGCATGGGGCAGTAAATTCCCCGGCCTCCTGGGTTTTCCAGCCCTGAGTCTGTACATTTTTGATACCCTTTACGAGTCAAACCTCTGCAAAGGGTTATCAATGCCTTGCCCTGCCGGGACTGCCTGCCAAATTAAGCTGTGCATGTCCCCCACACACCCCCATCTTCCCACCTCTCAAGTGCCAGCCCGGAGCCTCAGCAGGTGGCTTTGAGGGTGAGGAAGTGCTCCATGCCTTGAACTGTTGCCAAGGACAAGCTTTATTCCCCGATAGTAGGCTGGAGAGCAGTCTGTGAGGGAAGCCTAGTCCTCTAAGTGTGGAGGTTGAGCCGTGGCCGGCATAAATTCCGAGTTACAGTGGGGCGGAGAGGAAACCATCAATGAAAGCTTCCAAATTATTTGGCTCATGAGAGGGCGGAGATGAAAGCAGGGATTTGGCGGCAGATAATGTTTGCACTAAATCTCCTCACTGGGCTGCTTCCTTCTCTTTCTGTGAATGGATTGGAGAGAGAGATAGGCCTTTATAGTCTGCTGGGCCTGGGGGCCTGGGGCCCTTTCTACCCATCCCCCTTGAGTAAGAGGCCTGTAAAGTGGTTGACAGGCTGCTCACCTGTTCTGCTCCCAGACTGGCAGGGTCCCTGGCAGGATTGCTTACAAAGCTATGTGTGTGGGGTAGGAACCCTGTTACTGGTGAAGTCCTTGGTTTTCTTTGACTTGTATCTGTAGATGGTGGGTGTGTAAGGGCAGGGGTGCTTAGCAAAAAGTACCTGCACTTAGTATGTAGTAAAGCCAACAGCTATAGAACAGGCTGGGATAAGGCAGGGTTGTCCTTTTGGTGACCTGTCAGGGCCATGCTTCCTAGTGCACCCTTGGGTGCAAACCTAGGGATGCCCTCTGTACCACCAGAAGGATGTGGTCAGACCAGAAGTCAGGACCCTGGACAGGGCTGAGAGCTTGAGGCCCAGCTTCCTATCTGGCCCTTACCCAGTGGGGAGCACCAACCATGGCCAGAGTGGGGCAAGGGGGACTACTGATAATTGTAGAGACAAATTCTAGGGCCCCTTGGAGGGTGGGTTAGTATTGGTGGAAGTGCATCAAGGCTGAAGTTGGCCCCGGGACCCCCTTAGCCTGTGGAAGGAAAAGGTTGGGCTGACTCCCAGGACACAGGCTCCTTCCTTCCTCTGTTCTGCTTATCTGTTAAATCCCAACCAAGCTGAGGCCTGAAGTCTATCTCCTGGAGTATGAAGGTCTGCTACGACAGCCCTGATGGAAGGGGGTTTGGTGTGGCTCTGGGAGGTGGTCTTAGTGTGTGAACTTTGCCGAGGCCTTGGCTTTCTGACCTGATGCACCAACTGGTATAGTCATTATTGGTTCTTAACCAATATATGAGGATGTAGATCTCTGAGAATCTGGTGGAAGCCACAGAGAATTTTTTGAATCAGCAAACTCCACCAGCCCTCTGCCCCAGAAATTATGACTTGAACTGGTGAGGTCTTAGGTACCACAGTAAGCAAATAGTTGCCAAGGAGTAGATTCTGACTCATGGATCCCATATGAGTCCCTGGTGGTACAAATGGTTAACAGTGCTTGGCTGCTAGCCAAAAGGTTGGAAGCTTGAGCACCTCAGAAGAAAGGCCTGGTAATCTGTTTCCTAACAGTCAGGCATTAAAAATACTATGGAGCACAGTTCTACTCTGACACATGGGGTTGCCAGGTACCTGCAGGTATTGCTGAGAGCTAGAAACTTTTTCTCCTCAGTTTGCCTAAGACAAGGATTCCTTCTCATGGTGGAAGCTGGGTCTATATTGAAGGAGGGGTGAGAAGCTTTCCATCTGGAGTCAGTTACTTAAGCAAAGGCAAGGTGTGGGTGGGGGCAATCCCCAGCTCCTCCGCACCCCACAAGGACCAGGGAACTGACTAGTTTCTGCCAAGCCCTGGACCTGCAGGGGCTTCTAAAGAGCAGCTTGGGAAGCAACCTGGAGGCCAGCCCTGTGGTTTGGAAGTTGCTGATTGAGGCTGTGTCTTCCTCAGGCCTGGGGCAGAGAGGCTGACAGGTCGCAGGATGAGCATGGGGGTTTCCCCTGGGCAGGCTGTCCTGAAGTATAAAACTGTGTTTTCAGGAAGTGAGAGTCTTCAGAAGTCAGCCAGGCAACTGAGACATTGGTCTTGGGGCCCAGGAGCTACTGATATGGATACAATTCTACCAGCATTGAGAGTACAATTGGCCCCATCCAAGTGCTCTTGCTGTTGTTATGTGCCATTGAGTCAGTTCTGACCCATAGCGACCCTGTATAAGGTTTCCAAGGAGCCACTGTTGAGCTCAAACCTCTGACCTTGTAGTTTAAACTGACTTTGCAGTCCAATGCTTTAATTCACAGCGCCACACCAGGACTCTGTCCAAATGTTAGGGATAGAAAGAACAGACCCTGCCCCCAAGGAGCTTTTCCTCTGAGTGTCAGCAGGATATAGCCCCTACACAGAAAAGCCTTCCTGCTGGGAGGTACAGCCAGTGTACACTGCAGGAAAGGCCCATTGTTTGTCACTGAGGTACTCCATGATCTTGGACAAATGACTACCCTCTCTGAGCCTCGGGGTCCTCATCTGTAGAGCCCTGCTCCTGCCATCAGTTGAACCATGTATAGTGTACTACCTTCTCCTGAGTTCTGAGGAGACTGGGGCTGGGACCTACAGGTGAGAGAAGGCTGGAGGCTGAGACCAAATAGTGAATGGGGAGAGGGCTCAGGTGAAGCTGGAGTGAAAGCTGGACAAGTGGGAGCTAGC